GTCGGCAAAGAAAAAGATGATGAAAAAATTCAAAAAATTGTACTCACCTTATCCAGATATCCAGAACGCCAAGAAATTCAAAGAACCCAATAAATCCGTTAAATGATTATCAGAAAAAAGATGAAACTGTTCAGGAAGGCAATTATTGATGGCCTTGCAAATGTTGGAAGTACAATCAGGTTCTGGGATACAGTGAGGAAATATAGCTCAAGAATACTCCTTGAGGATAGAATACATCTCTGCTTGCAATGACCTTCTCTCATGACGTACTTACCTAGAAGTTCTATTCCCCTTGTCATCGAACATAAACTCATCTATGGATGAAGTAAACACCATCCAGGATCTAGATAAGAGTTTGAAATACACCAAGCTAGGGAAATTTCGTGGTGACAATTCCATTTCCAACAAATCTCTATCCGAGAAATGGAGACTCTGCATGCATAATATATTTAATGACATCATCACTTCAGGATATGTCTCGGTGAATTGGGCCTCCAGTAATCTCTGTATGATCTACAAGAAAGGAGATCGTATGGATCCTTTGAACTACAGAGAAATAGCACTCATCAATAATATCACGAAGAATTTTACATGAATATTGAATCAGGGAATTTACGTCTTGGCCAAACTTCACAAGATCATCCTCGAGGAACAGGCTGGGTTCCATCAGAAAAGAGAAGTGATGGATATAGTCTTCACTCTGACATTGAAGTCAGTCTCCGCATGGTCAACGTCATAAAAAACCTATATGACCAAGCCACCATCCAGATAAAATCATGTGAAGGTATTACGGATCGTTTTGACATGAGTGAGGGTGTCTTGCAGGAGAAGAAGTTGAGCCCTCTTTTGTTCAACCTCAACCTCTCAGACATCCAGGCTTTCTTTGGGATGAACGGAGCCAGGGGAGTCGATATCAATGGCATGAAAGACGCAATTCTTTTCTTATACGCTGATGACTTCATAATTCTTGAATTCAGCGCGATTGATCTACGACGCAAATTGAAAATTTTGGAGGATTACTGTAAAATTAACTGTCTGACTGTTAATATAGGGAAGACCAAACTCATGATCTTCAGGAAAGTCGAGCGACTGCCCTCCTCCAACTACGATTCAACTCTCAACGGATCCCTCGTCGAAATTGTGTCCGAGTACACTCATCTTGGAGTCAGATTAACCACTTCTACAACTGATAGGACTACCGCCAACGCAGCTCTATCCAGATCACGTGCTACCTCGGCTTCAGCTTTACGGATTCCGTCCAACATTGGTGCGGACTCCTGGGAAGGTATGAGGAAACTGTCCTGTAGTATTATGACCTCCACCCTGCTGTACACTTCTTCACTGTGAGCTCTTCGAGACCTGGTGACTCTCGAATATGCTCACTTGCACTTCCTCACACGTCTCTTCAATCTCCAGAGAAACCCCAGGTTTTGTCATTCGGCTGGGAACTAGTGTTAGGAAGATTTCCTGCGAGATCATTGAACAAGCTCTCAATTGGGTCATCGAGACTCTCAAGATATTAACTGAAGGCCCAGAGTTTGCCTTCAGAGACTAATCAACATGGCTTCCTCTCCGGCAGCGACCACCACATCCAATGCCAGATATAACTGGGTCTTGCAGCTAAAACACTGTCTCAACGGTATTGATTATTCTGATCTCTGGACAAACCTGAATCCTATCTGGTAGGAGATGAGGATTTCAGATATTCTTCGTCAACTAGCGGAGAGAGGTACGACGACTGTCTCCACTACCTCTCTTCCTCCTCGCTGTTGCGTAAGATCTTTAGAACCTCGCGGGACGACTGTGATGCCTTCCACATGGTAAGATGCCCCATCCAGTTCATGAGAGCTAAAATCCATTTGAGACTATCCTTTGCCTACACGCGATGTCTCACCATCAACAAAATAGATCTCCAGATTGATCCGAACTAGATATACATGTTATGCCCCTAAATAGCATTACGAAATTCCTCTGTTCTTCTGGATAATATGAGAACACGAAAGTGGCACATATTATTCGAAATAAACAGAGAATGAAGGAATGTAAAATCATATGGAAATAATACGCGATTAAGACCCACGTATTATTCGACAAATGTAGATCACTGGGGTGCAACATCAGTACTTTGGGTACCGACGACTGGCCTTTGCGTGCATCTGGAGACGTCACCCGATGCCTCGCAGGAGTGTGACGAAGAACCGTGACCTGATGCAATCGAATCCACGAGGGAATAAAAACTCGTGAATTCGTTGTCTCGTGGCCAGTAATTCGACGATTCTTTAAATCACCTTCTTTGTATTTTATACTCACCTGATACTTTCGGTACCAGACGAAGTCGTTATTTATTTAATAAATCATTACATTATCTTTGAAAACTAATCTTTTAGGAGAGATATTTATTCCTTTTACTATCCGCGTCTGATCTATCCCTTTATCGAACCCATCCGTTCGGGTCCATTAGGACCCGAGCGGATGGGTCGATTAGATACACTTTGTGCATCTCGCCTGACCTGAAAATCTGGTACATATACTCTTCACATGCTCATTCTATGCTTCATTGAGATTTCACTACTTATATAACTATCTTCGAAATCCTAATAATATATCTGAATCTAGTATCTCAGCCTTCTGCTGTTTGAATAATTATAAGGACATTAAAGTCTTATATTTTTTTTTGGAGAAATCATTTCAACTCCGCTCGCTTGAACTAAATGACTGATAGGTTTAGCCTTAATTCAACCGCAATCCTTTCAGTAGATTTTCTTTTCTGTTCTTCCCAAAATATCATGAAGTGCGTTTAAAACTCAAAAAACTTATACTATTTAATTGTAGACGCTGAACCTCTTTGGATCTTTCAAGTTTTCTACTTCGAACCTTGCGCCACTCTATTTTAGATTTACGAACGTGCTTACTCGATCTACTTGCTCCGAATATATTTTTATGTTACCACCGTATTATTAATCTCTAGTTATATTACCTGATTATGTAATTTTACCATGTTTCTTATTATGTAGCGGGTACTCCTTGCACCAATAATACTATCTATTAATTTACAAGAATAAATAAGTAAATGAATAAAAATTCTAACAATTTTTCTTACATCTAGAATATTTTTTTCAATTTAAGAGTAATTCTTCGCTCCTTGAGATTTGCCTCAATGATTATTATATTATTCATATTTCTTTCCTACTACCTTTACGGTTTTATAGGCTCCCTCATCTGCCTTGCCTCTCTCACTTATCTCTTATGATTTTTATCTGCATTACCATGGGCCGTCTTACTCTTAACTCTACCCCAATCAGGCTAGAACTGCAAGGGAAACCATGGAAAACCCCAGTCGTACAGCCGGCCGATAATGCAGGGATTCCACTGTGTCCATTGGTCACACTGACTCAATGGCCACAGTGGTTCTCTACATTCGTGCCTAGCGACTATAGTCCCACGTGGTTAGGTGTGCCTAAGCGGATACCCATCCAAATACTGGGCAGACTGAATGCTGCTTAGCTTGAATGACCGCCGGAGCCACACACTCCCCGCATGACCACTACAGCCACTTGCGTTAATGATTAATTATACCCAATTTTCGGATTTGCTTTAAGAAAATGATTTCCAATAATTTCCAATGGTAATCTTTATTAAAGAACTTCATTAACGATCATAACCAATATACTCATTCTATAGCCCAACATAATTGGAATAATAAGAACTCAACTTGGACCACCTGAATATGACTAGCCTGGCGAAATATGCTTTTTAATGGTTATGTGGCAACAGTATTTGCTTTTCACTGAGGAATGTAAAACACGAAACATTTCGTGTGATATTAATGAGAAAACTGAAAATTTTTACTATAACTGGTACTGCAATTTATTTTTATATAATGGTTCATGGCACGAGAAAAGATGAATTGATGAAGTGGAGGTGTTTTGCCGATATTGTAAAATGTACCTTTCTTTCGATTGTACTACCACCACGGGAACATGTTGAAGGCTACACTAATAATAGAAAAATAACACTCCTATAATTCGGGGGAGCAAGCTAAAAAGTACTAGGTGGCGCTTAACAAAGTCACACGCTTGGGCATTCAAACATTAGGGTGCCAATCGGGTACAGTTTTCACATGGAGCTTCGCAATCCATGCGATACCCCACCATGTAAAGCCCCATCGCCTGCTTCAGTGCACTCTATTCAACCCATTGAAACACGGTTCGCTCCGAGAGCAGACTTTGCCTACCCTTTACTAAAGTATTCTGGGTACACCGAAAGAAAACCAAATGTGGGCCCTGTCCACCACAGAGTCTCATATGCATACATACATACAGAGATTTTTTGGAAACAGCATTTCTTCATGATTCATGACATTTCCAGGCATTTCCATCCAAAATTAGGGAATTGAAAAAAAATCCCAACATATATAGGTTTGGAATCAAAAAAGATTAATTTCGTTGTTTTTTGAACATTCAATAACTTCGATTAGTTGAATTTTGGATGTAATTTTTCTAATATATTTGAAGCGTCACAATAATTTGGTTTTTTAGCAGAACCGCAAAGAAAGTTTTCCCACTCGAGAAGAACTCTTTATTCTCTCATGATATCACAGTTTCGGCTGAATTAATAAAGATATGGGAGGAAAGTAAATCGAAATATTTTGCGTGTACTTCCTAGTCTCATTTTGTCCCGTTCTACGTCATATGCCACAGTAGCTGGGATTCTTTTACCAATGGAATTCGTACGATAATCAAAAGAAAAGCATAAAAATAAGGCATTGGGATTGCATGTAACATCGGTCTTATACCTTCTGTCACACTCTTTGTTTTTTTCAATTGATCTTTCGTTTATTTTTCAATTTTTTTCCAGATGCGTAATAAATAAATATTTACTATTGTTAATCTATTCTCGTATCATCATTCATTTTACTGAGAATAGTTTTACACAATAACCCATTACACTACACCAGTTCTAAAAGTTACCGTCATTAACTACACTAATCCATGACCTAGGTTTTGGATTCTACAATATTCTCACCGTATTGGCAGCAATTCCGGTGGCCTGGGCGGGAGCTTTTGACATGACAACGATGACCTTCATCCTTGCATCGGCTGAATGTGACTTGGAGTTGACATTCATTAGGAAGGGGGCACTCGTTTCCTCCGTCTATCTCGGTACAGTGAATAAAACAAATGTTAATTCTATAATGAAGCAGTCATGAATAAGAAACAGTATACATATTCTCTTTATGTATTCAAAACATAGGAATGACGATGAGTTCATTTTTCTGGAGCTTCGTAACCGATCGCCTTAGTCGTAAAGCTCTGATGCTCATGGGTCTCCTCATCGATGCCCTATGCAACATTTTGTGCTGCACCGTTGAGTCTTATCACGTAATGCTCCTTCTGAAATTTATCACCGGCACCATGTAAGTCTTTCAATGGCACCAGTTTCTCTTATAATGTTTAATTACATGTTTAATTTATTAGTAATGTACCGTCTGTGACACGGATGTGGAATCGGTACTGATTATGCAATCAGCGTTACATTTGGCTGAAAATCCATATGATCCTATATATTTACTGCAATGAACAAAACTGAATAGAAAGTATTGATTGTATACTGTCTATGAAGCCAAAAGCATCTCCTTAACAAAACTTCTAGGTTACTGAAAACAATACGGTTCCATAGCTTGACCCCATTTGTAAAGGGATTCATGAGTGGGTCACTGACGTATCTCCATAAACAAAAAATATATGGACAAGCAGGGTTGCGCGCCTATTCGACAGAACCCATGTGACCGTTGGTTTATTCATCTTTTGTCTTTCTCCCTCTACTAACTCCATTGGTAATAAGCTTCCGAATAGATGTGTAGGAATGGTAAGATCTCTTCTAAGTCTAAGATAAATCTGCCCCTGAAAATCGTTCCCCCTTTTTTGTTTTTCCACGCCGATTCTCCTTTTCTTCGTTATTTCATTGAATATTACATAATATGATATAGAAAAGCACATAAATGTTTATCTTACGATTTTTCATGTCATTTGGGGGGCTTATTCTTGACTTGTATAAAGACGGACTTGTGTGTAAACGTACCCCCGTGCACGGAGCGCCAGAACGATTACCATGTGCATTCCATAAAAGAAGCCTCATTCACACGCGAATCTGCCTTCACACAAGTCGAGAATAACCCGAGCGGAAATTCCGGTCAGGTCTTGATCAAGTTTTGATCTGGTCAGACCCGACCACTGATCAGGTAATGATCAAGTTGACGGAGCTGGTCTTGGTCACGCATGTAACGCCTCTGACCTATCCGGATTTAATCAGGACGAGTGGCTCCGAACTTGATCAAGTTGAATGTATGAAAACCGGATGACCTGTCTGTCAGTATCAATAATAACTAATCCAAAACAAAAGATAATTCGATTCGTTCAGGCCGCCTCTCTTCATGAATCCCTATCCTCATTATCACTGAAAAAGATTGTTATTTTTTTACTGACGCTTGGGGATCGAACCGAGGAACCTATGATTACTAATCCTATCCCCGAACCACTAGGCTATCGCGTTATTACTATTGAGTAAACCGTACATTGCCTATACACCCAAAAAAATTACTTTTGATCAGTCGAAAAACTACTTCTGCCCAGTACAAAGGGCTTTCTGGAGAAAAGGCATATTTTTGTACTTCCTCGAATTCACAAGAGAACTGGATGCGACCATCATGCGTCAAGTGCCGGGATACTGGTGAGAAGTATCTCGGTACTTGTCACAAGACCTTTTGTTACTCGGGACAAGTAAAAAAGATACTTCTACTGAGTACCTGACTGGTTCTTTTCAAAAATACCAAATTAAGTCAATGTAAATAGCAATAGTACTCAAATCCAGTACTCATAATTTTTTTAGGATATCATTCGAGATGACAAATGAAGATCCTGTAGTATATCTAAGACTGACTGAAATGAATATTTCATTTTTCGACTGACGCATACAACTTACCCTCTCCGCATAAGCATATCTGCAGACCACACATCCATGTTTTTGCCAATTATATTATCTGTTTATTTTACAAACATTCTTTGAATAAAGAATTGGAGGCTTTGAAAGCTGAGGATACACAGTTAGCTACAAAGTATACTAATATTAAATCAGAAGCTACCAATGCTCTGAAGGAACGAGATCATAAAATAACGGCTTTGGAGCAGAGGGTTGGAGAATTCAAGGAGCAGTCAAGTCAACATGATATTAGCTTCCTTGATGTCACAGCTAACATGGGTCCGCCCAATCCATAAGGAGCAACAAAACGGATTGTGGTGAGTGCCAGTATTGGAGCGATTGAACCTTATGATAAGGAAGGTGATTGGACACTAGATCGCCCAAAGAAGCACATTTACGAAATTTGACTGTGCCAACGCCGCAAACGATGGTTGATTGTATAAAAACACTTGATAATTTTTTGGGGATTTTTTGAATTTTTTTTCGGGCCGCAGCGAGTTTTGAAAACTCTTATGGCTTTCTACCCGTGGAGGAGGTGAAAAAGTTGATATTGACCATTGCATTGGGTTATTATTAACATTATTGCTAATTATCCATCAAAATTTATTCACAGAAAGGTAAACAATAAAGCCCATATTTTCTCACCTTCTTTCGATCATTTGTTATTGAGTTAAAACACATGAATTTTGCTCAAAACGGAGGTTTTCAATGCCGTTTTAATACGTTTCAGAATACACTAATTCGCTACAAATTTCGTTGGGTGATTGTTCAATTATCCTACTATCGCTTCGGAAAAGAAATATTATTTCGCCTTATTAGAAATTGAATAAAAATGCAAACGAAAATCGTCGAATTTCCTAGGGCGGGACTAAGCCTTTTATTGTCTGTCATTCATCACATTTACCTTTCTATGATCAATACATGGGACATTCCATGTCAACTCAGCCACCCCGGATTTTTTTTTTGTCTAGAAAAAATGATTTGGACGTCCATATATGATGTAAAAAAAATACGCCAACATGCGAAAGATAACCAGTGCACTGGAGAAAATTTTTGTTTCCTAAATTTTCGTGTTTTTCCGCTTTCTAGGGGAGCTGCCTCGTTTTTATTAAGAAATTGATATTTCAATGCATACCTTTGATGAATATGAGTTAGAAAAGAGATTCATCACAATAGAAAAGAGAACCAATGCGTCGGGAAAAAAATTTTCTTTGAAATTTTCGAGTTTTTTCGCTATCTAGGAGAGCTATCCAAAGAAACAAACGTGTCAATCAATATTTTTTGCTCATAACGATGAAAAGGAAAGCCATCATGGAAGAGACAAGCAGTACACCAGAAAAATGTGATTTTTCGCAATTTACTTATTTTTTCTCCTTTTCTTTTTTTCTTCTTCTTTTCAATCTTTTTTTTTGCTTCTTTCACCTTTCAATCGATAGTTCCCCCTTCTGCTAGATGGGGGGGACTATCAACAACATTATAAACCTCTCTCGAAAGACAAAGTAGTCATCCAAAGAAGTGCGAAAAATCGAAAAACATGTTTACTTTTACTGTAACGACCTTTTTACATTTTTCCAATAAGAGGCTATTATTTACCGTCTCCAACTACCACTTGCCCAATTGCACTGATTTACTATACATCTATTCATCACGATTACTGTTTTCTAAGTGCTTTCCGTTTTGTTGTTGTTGTTTGTTTTCGTTTCGGAAAAATTTCTTGGTTTTCCGCAGCCGAATATCGTTTCATTAACAATTGCTCTCCTGGTTTTGGAATGAAACAATGGTGTTTTTAAATGGCTGGAATAGCTTTGGCACTATCAAATCTTTCCCTCAATTCAGTTTTTATATTCTCATGTTCGTCCTTGGTGAAAAAAAAAACATCAATTCCTTTGAAATTCTGTTTTGACCATCAAAACAATGCAGCTGGCGTCAGGATGGGTTCACCATGGACGATTTGCAAGCTTCTACGTCCCGCTTCTCTTTTGAAAATAGCACCCACACCCCGTCACAAGCTCCTTTACCGTGTGCGGTTGCATGGAAATGGGCCTCTGCATCTATTCCAAAATCTGTCTTGTGATGCAGAAGATTAGCCATTTGGTAACGATTCTTGTAATGTTGTGCAGCTCCATCGGTGACATAGATGATTCTCTCGACATCTTTGCAGTTATTCTTCACATGTTGTATTAGGATTTTCTGTACCAAGTAAACAGCTGCGGTATCGTGAGTAGTACTATCTGACAAAACAACTAAACTCCGATGCTGGATCTCGTTTCCTTCGCGATAGTAGTAAACAACGGGATGGACTGTGACAACATTGGTCATTGTTGTAGTGGAAGGATTGAGCAGCATCTTGAGCCACAAAGGCATAATTTTCTGAGAAATCACAGTGCACTAGTACTTCGCCGTTATTCAAATTCTCTTTTCGATCTTTAACAAAAGCTGATTGTTCTTTAGCGATGAAGTGATGGGGTTTTAATACTTTTAATCGTTCCACAAGAAGATCGACGAAGTCATCAATCGCAAGCGTTTGTGTCTGCAAGGTACTTGGCCGCTTTATCGTTGTTATTTTCATCGTCGTCCTATTCCATGATGACATTATATCAATGTGATAAAATTTTTCATCATCGACTATCCTCTGTAATTCTTTTGACCTCATTCTTACAACATACGATAATAGGAATCAGATTCATAAATATTCCTTGAGTATTAGAAAATGGAAAAATTCAAGGAGAAAACTTTTCCTCAGTTGGAGAGTACCCCCACTAGGGAGCATGTACTACCAATTCAATGATATACCTATTAGAAATGAGGGAAAAACTGAGCACCCCCATTTATTGAGGTTCAGTACTAGTTCCCAACATTAATTTTATCGAATTTTCATGTGACTGAGTCCTCAATCGCACTCGCGTAGCGCTGAGTCGCTTTCTCTACCGACTCTGTGGACACCAGAGTTCAAGTCTCCGTCAGAGATTTTTATCTACTTTAGACGCAAGTCTAGTCTGCGAAAGGTTGCCAGTTACATGCCCAGTGGAAGCGGAATTTTGAACGGAAGGCACTGGGGAGCGGGAGATTGCTAATAGATCTTCATCTGTACCTGCATGGGTTTTCTGTGGTTTCCCATGCTACTCCCATGTTCTATAAGAATGCGGTACAGTGTAGAATCGATAGCCGCATGCATAGGGTTGGATAGAGTACTGACGTGAGACCTGGGACTCAAGAGACCTTGACAAAAAAAAATAGAATGAAATTTCAATTTGAATTGAATTAAAAAGGGGTTTTTGGGGTGATGTTTGCAAAGACAAGAATCGTAAGGGGCAGATGAGAGCGTCGGCGAAAATGGTCACACGGGGGACCATTATCGTTCGTTCTGTTCCACTTTCCTGTTTGACACTTATGGAACTTCGATAATGTTTTGCAGTGTAGCCGTTGTGTTTTCTTTTG